AGCCAGTCACAACAGTGTGAATTCCTCAGGGAGGTGCCAGTCTCATCCTCTTGTTCTTCTTATGCTCTTCTGGCGAGCTAAGGAAATGTTTATCTCCCTGAACCTGGCCTTCATAATTCCACTCCATCACAGAAATGTACTGAATCTCCCATGATAATGAAGCAGGTTTGAAGTCTGTTACACACCAGCCTTTACAAGGAGCACAGTGGCCTTTAGAAGATGACTGAGCACCATTAAAGGAGCAAGGAGGACAAAACTGAAAGTCAAGGTAAGTGTCCCTCCTGAAATAATTCCAACCCACAATCTAAACCTCTATTCTATTCTACTCTAATGTAAACCTTTATTCTACTCTAATGTGAACTGTATGATGCTGAACAGGTGTCATCCAGGAACTACAGTTTCCCTCTGTTAACAGAGGAAGTCTGCTCTGCAAAGGTATCTGGGGTAATTAAAATCTTATTGGACCAAGGATTTCAAAACGTGATTTGGAAGTATTAATCAGCTATCATTTGTAGTTACCACTGCTCCATCACTTCATCCTAGCTTGTCTCTTTTGCACTGGGGTTCACAAGTAGCACAAGCTGATAAGAGAGGGGGAAGGGTCTTTAGGCGGGATGTGGAGAACATGGCTGCTTGCCAGAAGTAAGAAGGAAGCTTGCTACTGGAAAGCAAATTTGAGAGAACCAGTCCATCTAGTTCCTCAAGAAAATACGTAACAATATTATTATACTGCCCGTATTATATTGCTCGGTAATGTTCATTTCTACTGGTAACGAGTGGTTTTAAGTGGGACTGGATGTATTCATGGAGAACAGGTTGTCCAGGGCTGCCTGAAAACTCCATGTCACCTCTGCGTTAGGGACAACAGGTCTCCAAATGCCAGTTACAGAAGAACAACAGTGAAAGAGGACCATGCCTCCATTTCCTTCTTGCAAGCACCCCAGAGGGATGAGAACCAAAATGCTGGACTAAGACTGGCCTTGGCCTGATCCTTACGTTTTGTAAAAGATATTGTAAAAAGGAAGGGAAAGGGCAATGGGGAAAGAAGGCCACTCTAATGCTGTGATACATTCAGAGAAAGTCACTTCTGAGCTCAACAGGTAGAAGCCACTGAAGTCTGCTCTGAAAAGTGCCTTTTTGCCAATTAAAGTTGTTCTATATCCCTCTCGCTCAAGGACATAATGCGCAGATAGCAAAAAGCACAAGACGAATGCTCACCCATGTGGATTAATAGCAGGTAACACATTCAGACGGGGGGGGGGAGGCAATACAATACCCTCTGTAAACGCTTATTAAGGGATTCATCTGTTCCCACTAGTCATTTCACTCAACCCAACGCTGTGATTTTAAGGTGAAAAAAAGAGATGCATTAGCGACCCTGCCTAAGCAGCAAAAAGAACACAGTTCATTAACAATGATCATTTATCAAATATTGATGTCTCAACCATCAGCCTTTTGTACAACTGGATCGGCGGCCCCATGTTTGTTTGATTGAACAAGGAGCAGATAATGTAGGA